AGAGAGAGAAAGAGAGAGTGCACGTACGTGGTGAGGGAGGGGGTGAGGGCAGTATATGAAGATGCGTAACCCCTTGCGGTTACCCGCGAGTGGGCACACACGTACATAATGCTATCAAGCCTGCGGCCGAGCTCCTAGGTCGGTAGGCAACCTCCGCCACTCCACGCGCGCGCGTCTAGCAGCGTGCCTACCCGGGCAGGCGCTGAGCCTGCGGGCAAGCCCCTGGGTCGGTAGGCAACCTCCACCACTCGAAGCGCGCGCGTCTGGCATCGTGCCTACCCGGGATGGCGCTGAGCTGAGGCCCAGTCTGCTGCGCTGTTGGGACGTCAGAACGTACGTGCAGGTCAGCAGGATCGCGTCTCGCGCGGGACTTCCCCGCGCACGAGTGGGTGCAGCCGGATCCGATGGTCCAGTAGTGTCTGGGCGGCGTGGCCGGCGGGGCCCCACAGTAGGGTCGGCGGGGTCGGCAGGGCTTCCCCCTCGTCCTCATCATCCACGCCACCGCATGACTCGCGGGGTGCCGTTCCTAGCGCAATGACGACACGCGCGTGCCTTTGGCGGCGAAAGATATTGTAATGAACCTTTATATCGGAACAAAACTACTACATATACACCGTAAAAAATTGTGAGTGAGGGGTTTTGTTTTGTAAATGGCAAATTACAAAATGTGTGGTACACACTAAAAGCTTCTGAAAATTTGTATTCATAGCTTGCTGAGCTCTGTGTACGTGCGCTGCTTACGCATTTTTTTAATACGCTGGTGTGAACAAATTTGTTCACATTGCCGTATTAAAAATGCGTAAGCAGAGCACGTACACAGATCTCTGAAAGCTATCAATAAAAATGTTCAGAGGCTTATAGTGTGTACATGTACAAACATATTTTTTACAGTGCACGCCAATATCCATTCTTTCGTCGGTTATATTGTGCTGTGTACCGTTGGTGTTTGCGGGCAATGGGTTGTCGTCGCCTTGGTTGTCACACGCGTACGCGTTTTAGAGGTGTGGTGTGTGGTCCGTCGCGCTCCTGCCACTCCCCGCCACTCCCCCACTCCCCCCTCGCCCAGCTCAGACCGAGAAAGTGTCTTTCTTTCATTCTCACCTACCGTCTGGACCAAAAGTGCGAAACTCACGCCCACCCCCACCAGCTGGGCCGCCTGTGTTTCCAGGAGCTCAGGCTGACGGGCACGGGCACACGGCACACCAACGGAGTGACAGACAGACGGGCGGGTGCACTGACAGACAGATAGACATTGGCCGCCGCAGCCGCCGTTACCCCGCGTGCCCTACTTCCAAAAAGTGTGTACTAATGGGGTGGGCAAGCAGCGCTCACACAGGACACCCTTAGAGAGACTATAAGGAGAGAGGCGACAACTGCCGGGCGCGCCGCTGCACTGTGATTGGCCAGCTCGCTTTGGTGCCCCAGCATGCACCCGCCGGGCGCTGACTGGCGGGGCGCCGCGCGGCTCGGGGCTCGGGTCGGCCGAAGCGGGCCCGAGCGGGCCCCGAGCCCTAGGCGCGCGGAG